ATACAAAGTGAAAAAAAAAAATACCGACTATTTATTCTAATTCAAAAACTCTCAACAAAAGATATTTTTTCTATATCAAGGACATGAATCTTTAAGAAAGAAATCCTCAATACACTCTTATATCATTCAAAAAGACTAAGAAATCACTCAAAGATGGTAATATATTAAATTAAAATGGCCATTGCCAAAGACAAGAAGATGAGGAAGTCTTGAAATAAGAATAAGTATTAGAAAGGCATTGACAAGAGTGAAAAAGGCTTCACTCTTGTCTCCATATATACTCTCTAACTAGGAGCTATGTGGTAATATGCTATAAGACCTCCAACTTTGTATTGACTTTGTTAGATACATGTCTTAATTTGCAAGGCAAGTTATCAATATGTGGACCACATAGTTAGCTTGTTCTACAAGCTATTAACATGTGTAATATGTGGTTAATTTATTAACCTAGTTTTTAGCCTACTAATTACTACAAACATGTGTAAAGTCAAAGCAATGTCTATGAAGCTTTTAAGAAGCTTTTCTAAAAGATATTATGAAATTTATCTACTTTTACTTACTTCTATCTAATCATATAAGTTATTATTGAAATAAATTCGTATGTCTGTGATAGTCCATATATAAACATAATTAAAAATATTCAAAATATTAAATATGTTTGTATAAAATATAATAGCATAAGTTGTTTTATTTTTAATATATATATAGATGCTTTAAAATAAAAAAATAAAAAATTTAATAAGAAGATTTTTTTTAAAAAAAAAAGAAAAAGAAAACTTTTTTAGAGGTTATTTTAAGTTATCTTGAATAAAATTAAATAACTACTTTATTTTGAGTCAATATATAAGTACAAAATAGAAGGCTAAATCTATGAAATGAAAATCCAAAAAATGTTTAACCTTAAATTATTAGGTTTGATATGAAAATGTTACATGTTGTTGTACATGACACAAAAGCATGGTAAAATTGCTTATAAATGCATACAAAAGTTTGATTTACTAAAAATATAATCTTAAATTCACTTAAAGATTTAAATTTTGATAAAAATAAAATAATTATAATGTTATCATATCCTAGTAGTATATAATATATACATATATATATATATATATATATATTTATATAGACAAAAATAAAACGATATATATATATATATATATATAGAAAGAGAGAGAAAAAGAAATCAAAAGATGTATACATATATATTAATAAATATTCAAATATAAATTTATATATATAGAATAAACATATCCATATTTACATGTGTATTTATTTTTTCATGTATTATACCATTGTAACACATTATAACACATTAATTGTGAAATACAATCAATTGTAACACATTATTGGTTGGTACCATATCAATAATTCTTGTAGTTGCATCTCAACACATACTTGTCATGGTTTACACAATTGACATAAAATCCAACAAGACCAGGTGTCTACACTTTGATCAATTACCCAACATTTCATTCATGAATTTTTCATTTATTTTTTTCTAACTTGTCTTTTTGAAATAGAATTTGACAAAACTAAGGACCCAACCAAACCATAGCTCACTTTCGTAAACATCATTTTCCCAACGTTTTAACAATTTCAATGTGACAAACACTCTAGTAATGTTTTAACTTCTTGCCTATAAAATTCCATTCCCCTATTTTAAGTTGTTTTCGAACACTACAATTAATTCATTCATTCATTCTTCATGAACAGTGAAAAAGCTCAGCTCCACTTTATCTACATGGAAACCATGAAAAAGCCATTATGGAGCTGCTTGATTGTAGGCACACATTACACTTTATTGTGTCTATTATTTTTTTTATTATTATTATTGTTTTTTTGGTAAAGTGGTTGAGAAACCATACGACATGTGATGTGCTTGTGAGAAGCCCAGAAACCAGTTGGGCAGGTGAATGGCATCTTATTCATGTGGGTGCCTTTCAATTCAACTCTGCTCTGCCTCATCTCAATTATATACTTTGTAGCTTTCAGCTTCTTCACAATCTGTGCCTTTGTGTTGGTCCCCAAATTGCTTCTCAGGATCCCAGACCTTCAAGAGGGCCAAGGTAACAAAAAAGTGATTTATGTAAAATGAAATAAAACAATAAAATGACGTAAAAAAGATTAGAAATTAGAAATTAACTGAAAACAGAACATGGCATCAATGACTGTAAGGATAGGGTTTCAATCTTTCGTATGGCCTCGTCCAACTTTGATATGAAGATGGCTGCATAGGGGCACCTGTAATTGAATGAACCTGGTATTGGGAAGGCAGGGGGGGGGGGAACAAAAAAGTGTAAAAAGGTTGGAAAATGTTCAAATTTCATTTTGATACATTTGTGATATTTGCATATTTTGATACAAATTTTGATATGCAAATAATGATGAAAATGTTATATTTTATTTTTATTTTTATTGACTTTTTTTTACAAAAGTTATGAAAATATGAAAACTTATTTCTAAGAAGCTTGTTTAGTTTTGTTGATAATGTAATAAATAAATAAAAGATAAAATAGATATGTAAATTATAAGATCTAACAAGAAGCAAGTACTTGTGGTAAAAAACAACATTTTATAATGAGTTAGATCTGTTTAGTGGGTCAAATATGAGTTAAGGGGGCCCTTATGTTTGAAAGTCCACTTTGAAAAGCTGTGATCAAAAAACTGAAAAGAAAGAAAGAAAGAAAGAAAGGATTGTACTTGTATTGTATTTTATTGAAGCTTAAGCATTTGAAGATAATATAAAGTAAGAAGATGCTATGAAGTGGACCTTAAGATTTTTTTATTTTAAGTATCAATTAAGAAACTCATATTTTGATTTTGAATTCTTTGACAAAGTTTTCAACATGTATACACGAATATTCTTAGCCATTTTTGACATGCTTCTTAAATTTTTATAGAAACCACCTTGTAATGTGGACTTCATACAAATACTAGAAGAACAATTTATTTATCTTATTTAGAAAAAAAAACACATTCCGCCTTATCTTTTTCTCTAATGACTTTCTAGCTAATTTTTCAAATATAAAGCCAACCAAGGGAGCTTTTCAATTTCAGCCAATTACAAGTTTTAAAAGGTGAGGTTTATATTCTTATCTTCTATACATAAAAGACCTCTATAGCATATAAAACGATCTTTGTAATGAATATCTTATAAAATGATTACATCTAAACATGTTTTTAATACATATTTATGTATAATATATATATATATATATATATATAAATAAAATAATTTATTGAATACATATTAAATGTATACTTTATCAATTAAATATAAATTAAAAATTATAAAATTATTTATAGTGTAAATATTTAAAATATAAAAATATAAAATAAATTTTATAAAAAATATTTTAATACATAAACTATTGTTAATGTATATGCAATTGTGTATACACACATCTTATATATTAAAGATAATGGTGTTTTTATGTCTATTTGTCTTTGTACATTCATCTAAAGGTAATTATATCTCTTCATATGTCCATCCATTTATGAATTCATTTACAATCTTAAACCAATTTATACCTCATTAAATGTCTCAATAAAAATAAATAAATAATGACTCAACATTCAAAGTTAATACCAAGAGTCACACCCCACAAACTTTAACCATATTGTGTATTGTGTATTGTCTACTTTGCAAGAGATGCACAATATTTATTTGTTTATTTATTTATTTCTATTTTGTTGTTGCAATGCTATTTAAAGAACAAATCTTGATATTAATTAATTTCTACTTTTTCTACAAACACACACACACACACACATATATATATATATATATATATATACATATATATACACAAAAACAAATATGACATCTCTTATATAAAACAGCTAACAGCTAAAGAAGATAAATCAAGAAGATAAACTAGGCTTCATCAAAAGTGAAACAATAATTCAACTTCTCATCAATCAGACATCAAAATCAACATTGTTGCAAATTGTGTAAAGTAACACCACAACATGGAACGACATTGAACATTGAGTTTCACATCAAATAAAACCTCAAACAAAATGTTAATCTACAATATTTAGTTTACAATGTTTTTTTGCGGCCAACAGCAAACAGGTTTCCACTAGTTCTTAATGAACTAGCTATGCAATAGAAGCTCAAGCGATGTGAACAGCTTTGCTAACATCCTGGGCTTCAGAATGTTCAGTGAGCCACAGCTGAGTAGTATAGCGATGAGGGGAAGAGGGGCTGTGATCCTGTTTGTTTGTAGGGCAATTGCTTCGCACCGCAATGCAGACATACAGACAGCTACAGACACACCTTTCACTGCAATGCTGCTTCGATTCGAGATTATGAAGTGGCTTTGCCTCGATTCGTTGTAGTGACTTGGAACCGAACGTCGTTACTACGTAGACAAGTTACAAGACGTGATGTTATGGTCTCTTGTGTGGAATAAGCAATGCTGCTGATTGTTGCAGATAAGTCCCCATCTGGAACCGGAACATTGAGTTGGAAGTCGCAAATCTCGACGGAAGAAATGAGACTATCGGAACAGCTTAAAGTTGCTTGTCCAATTGATTGTTGTCAACCGCATTCTGCGTTTGCTAAACTCGAAGGAGCAGTACAGCAATTTCAGAATATTGTGTTGCTGATTATCCTAAATGTTAGGTTTCTCATTCCTTCAGAACATACCGTGTTTATTACTCACAATGCACTTCATAGATGGCGAAGCCTGTGTGAGCAACAGCTAGAACTCCTTGACAAGAGTGCATGTTGTGTTCATTCCTACTGTTGGTTACTGCAGAACAAGTTGCATTGCTGCAACTAATTGCATCATTCCACTATCAACAAGTAGGTTATAAACTGATGCTTTCTGTCTGCAAAAGGCATCGTCGTAGACACATTCGAAATGACCGAAAGCTTTACGAAATTTGTCATAGGGCACATTAAAAGAGTACCATCAAACAAGGGGAAAGGGCAGATGTATGCTAGGGATTTTCCCCACAAAACTATAATACATATATGGAGGGCATAAAAGTGCAGAGAAAAAAAAGCCTCCGATATACGATAGAAATTCCGTTAATGTATCTTCACATTAACATGAAATTTGAAGTAGAGTACAGAACTGAAAACGGTATCTCTGAATGGCTGTTTCATGCGACTCCCCCAACGTGAATCAAAGAGTAGGAAGTGAACGAGAAACACGAGATTTGTCGTCGAATTCTCTTGATTGATCATGAATAATGCTACAGTAGGAGGTGCAATATTCCCACACCCTTTTCAAAATGCTATGCTACACCTTGGGGAAATTACACCTTGAATGGTAAGACCTTGCTGAGGATTTCATCACTCAGGGCTTGTACCTGCTGGTCCAAGCTACGGAGGGTTTCCTCCTTCTGCTCGTCCAAGTTAGCAAGGGACTGAGCTAGCTCCTTCTCAATCCTGTTTCGAGATTCCTGAAGCTTCTCGTCCAACATAGCAGCAGTCTCCCTCTTTGTCTTGGCCAAAGCCTCAGTGGTCTCAATGCGAGCGGCCTTCAAGATCGCCTCGGCTTCATTCTGCAGATTCTTAATTTCTCCAGAGTTGTCGCGTACTCCCATGAGCTTCGACCGGATAGCCTCATCACGCGAATCCATGACCTTAGCCACGGGCTTGAACCAGATGTTGTCGAGGGCAACCATGAGGAGCAAGAACTGGACGGCAATGATCGGGAGCGTCAAGTTGAAGTCAAAGATCTTACCCTTGGGCTCCTTCTCGACCTCCTCGGCCAGGGCGGGCAACACCATAAGCACATTGATTGCCAAGAACGAGGCCTGCTTCATTAAAGCGCTCTGCGACGCAGCATCCTTGACACTCCGGATCGCCTGCTTCACACTCCTCTCGAGCTCCGACAACGATGCCACACCGGCGCGGACCTCAATGGCCTTCCTAGCCACTCGCTCGATCGCGGCTCTCTTTCCAACAGGCCCGATGTTCACCACCTGCGAACTCCTCAATCCAGTAGACCTGATTCCAACAGGAACCACTGCCATGACCGCGGACGAGCTCGCCATGGCCGCCATAGCTGCCATTACTACTCCACAACCGATCGAATTCCCAGGTTTCACCAAGAATCCAACAGGTCACAAACTGGAAGAGAGAAGAAGCAGAGCAAAGTCAGTTCGGAATTGAGAAGCCAACGTGACGCGACGGTGCGAAGCTCATATAAGAGGATTGCGTTGGATTTGGACCGATTGCGGGGGATAACGAAGGGCCTGCGCAACTTTGGAAACCAGCCATAGCGAGTTGGGTGGCTAGAAAATGCCCTTCGCTGACAGCACAACCCATCATCGCCACAACTGGATACTTCACACAACCCCCCCCCCCCCCCCCCCCAAAGTCTCCCTTCGCCTTTCACTTTAAGCAAATGCGCACATCTGCTAAAAATATACAAACAGTTCATCAAGCGCTTCATTTCATTATTTTTCTTATATTGACGTTTGAACATTTGATAAAAACTATGTGAAACGTATCACTCTTTTTGCTTGATAATTCTAATGGATGCTGATAATTCATTACTTGATTCAAAGAATACATGTTTACATATATGTGTAGAGCAACTTTGATATGATTATTGTAGATACCATTAGTTTAATTACAGCATATAAAATATAATTTGTATGTATGTATTTATAGAATACTTAAATACTTTTTAGTCTTATTTTTTGTATAATCCAAAAATCAAGAACACAAAACAAACTTTAAAATAAAGAGAATGTATATGCATATGTATATATATATATATATATATATGAATGATTTTATATAAGAATTTTAAAATGTCCTATAAATGAATTATATGAAAAGGGCTATGTGGAAATAATTTAAAATAATGTATGCATTAGTATAATGTTTATTTCTAAAGATTTTGTGTCATGAGAGAAATACTTGCAATAGTTTCCAAAGAATACAAGATTACGCATATATATATAAACATACATATATATTTTACTCTAATGAATCACAATGAAGTCTTAAAAAATAAGACTACTTAGGTAAATGGTTGTTGAGGTCTCACCACAAAGAATTTGACATATTTGTGAACATGTGAAGCAAATGTATTTGCATTGAGATATTTGTTGCATAATTTATGATAAAAGCTATTGAGAGATTTTTTTTTTTTTTTTTTTTTTTTTTTTTTTTTTTCAAGACTAATATATGAAATTTCAAAATGATATAATCAATAAATGATAATAAAATAATGATGTTCAAAATAATTATAAATAAAAAAAATATTTTATTAATAGTAGCAAGTTTTGAGGTTTTAGAATAAAATAATAAAAGAAAGTTGCAATGAAATATATGTGTATAAATTACAAATTAGCAAAAAAAATGAAGAATACTATAAAACAAATATAAAATAAACACAAGTTCTTATAGAGATAAGAATTAACTTGGCCATAATCATATCTGTGCCTATCATCATGCATGGGATTTTTACTTAGTTGGATGGTATGACTAATTCATGTATTATTTTATTATAAAATGATGAATATAAACTTGGTAAAATAAATATTTAGGAGGTCACTTTGAATCTCTCTTACAATTAAAGTTAAAGATACAAATAATTTTTTGCATCTTGCCAAGGTCTATTACAAGCATGGTCAAACATCTTTAACTACATTTCATGATTGCCTCATACACATTTGTAATTTTCTAATTATAAAAATATGAATTATAAGAAGTATATATATTGAGCCTTAATAAAATTAGCACTTGATTAAGTCTTGGGTGGTGATGCTAGGTACATGTATAGGTCATTTATGTGATATGAATAGAATATGGAAGCCAAAGAATCTAAATGGACTAATAGTATTATATTATACCACGACTATATAGTAAAAATAAAAATAAAAATAATAGATTTTATTATAGAAGAGCCTACTAGAAAGATGTAGTAGAAAAATAAAAATAAATGATAAGAAGGTAATAAAAAGTTTAGTCTTAATGATGCCTTTTGTAGAAGGGACTTTTATTTACTTTGTAGGAATATAAATGCCTCAAATCAAAGTAAATGAGATAAGTAAATAATACAAGCATCTTCAAGAAAGAATTAAAAATAGGATTATGTAAAAATTACCTCAAATTATCAAAAATTGATATCCAAAAAAGATTGGTAGTGAACTTGGATCAAAATTAAACTCCAAAGAACAAAACCATGTACCTATAGTAATTCCAAGGTTCTTTTGTAAATTGAAGAGTAGATTTTAAAAATAAACTTAAAAAAAGATTTTTTAAAGTTAATTCTATTTTATTTGGATTACTATTAAAGTTTTGAAAGTTTTTGAAAGTTATGTGATGTACTTGGTAGGTTTAAATTTTGAATATTAAAATAAATTTATAAGTTTGAAAATTTTATAAATTTTGTAATTTTTTTGATATATTTATAGGTAAAAATTTGATATTTTTTATTGTGCTTGTTATGAATGTGTGTAAAAAAAGTTAAGATCAATTGAGCAGTTAAATTGAAAAGTGTCGTAATATGTGAAGTCTTGCTTGAGATTTCTCCAGGCACTTGGGTGTGGAAGGTAGAATGCAAATTGCAACAAAAAAATCCTAACTCTAATAGAATACTAATTAAACTCTAATTAGACCATAACAATGCTAAGTAAGATTTAATCAAATTCAAAGAAATCTCAAAGGAATTACAAAGAAATAATAAGAAAACTTAAAGAAATATTAAAATGATCACAAATATATCTCAAATACATCTCAATTCAATCTTAATTTAATCCTAGTTAAAATCCTATTGGAATTCATTCAAACTTTAGGCCAAAAACTAACTAAATCTTAAATCCTAACCAAATCCTAAATCAAACCCTAATCAAACTCTAAATCCTAAATCAAACCCTTATTAAATCTTAAATCCTAATCAAACTCTAAATTCTAAATCAAATCCTAAATCCTAAACCAAATCCTAACTAAATCCTAATCCTAAATCAAACCTTAACCAAATTCTAATCTTAAATCAAATCCTAACCAAATCCTAAATCCTAAATCAAATCCTAACCAAACCCTAATAATTTCTACAAAAAATTTAAACCTCAATAAGTAATGAATAAACCGTCGATCTTAACTCAAATTTTACACACTTCTTAAAAACTAAGTTGAAAACAAGCACAAAAAGTTTAAAAAGGATCAGAATTACCAAATAGATGATAACCTCAAAAATGTGCTCGGATATTGGCTGACCTCCTTCTCCAACCTTGATGCTAATCTCCTAGAGCCAACAACTCTCCTTTTCACCATTCAATTGATCTCAAACTTTTCATATATATAGAAAAACAGGTCTATTATCTTCATCTACAAACTTCACTCCAATTCAACTCCAATTTCACTCCAATTGCTAGAATTTATTCTTAACTTCCTTTTAAAGATGCCTATATCATTTATTTTTCTAATCTATTTTTTTTGCCTTATTTATGGTCCTACAAAATAAGTAGAAGTCACCTTTCTAAAAAGGCAGTATTGGTACTTTTTAGTTTTACTATCCTTTTGACTATTAACTATATTTCTAAGATAATTTGCTCTAATACTTTGAACTAAGATTGCTTACATTATAATAACTTCCACACTCTTTCACCTATTACTCGTATTACATCACGACATCCACTTCCCTGAATCTGTGCATCCTTTGGCATGTGCCAACAATTCTTCAATATGTCGATGTAGAATATTTTTCATCTTGGTCTAATTCTTGATCTTCAATATTCTCTTCTATTCCAATCTCAATATCTTGTATTGGAATTTATTCTTTATGAAAACAAATATCTTCATCTCTTTGTTTAAATAACTTGATTCATTTGTGAGCTAAAAGTACATTCAATTCTGTACCATCAAGTTCTTGTAATAAATATGTTCTATTGTTATATGCCTTTTTGATAATATAAGGCCCAAACCATCTCTTTGCAAACTTCTTCGTAGTACTATGTTGATTATCTAAGCTACTATTTTAAACTAATATCCAATCACCATCTTCAATTACCATAGGTCATAGTTGATGTTTTTTTATCAAATCTTTTTTTATTCTTTTTTAATCTTTTTGTCGCTTTAATGTGCTCAAATATTCTCCAACATCTTTCCATTCATTTTCATATAAATCTCGTAAAAATATTTCCAATGGTATATTCAAACATATACATTTTTTTCTTGATAATGCATTAGTATAAAATTTTGTATCTACATCATCTTCTAAATCAATCATCTCTTCTTCATGATTATACCTTGCTCTTGATAACGTATCTATAATTGAATTTTCTTTCCTTACAATATGTTTAAATTTTGAATTCATAGATTTGATATATGCTATCTACTTCAATATAGGAATATCAGGAGTTGAACAACTTATAATCATGCCTAATAAAGATAGACAATCTATTTCTATAACTATTGATGCCCCAATCAAGTATTCTTTTTCATTTTTTATAGCTATAACTACACCTTATAATTCTCTTTTGATTTGCATATATATTCTTTGCTTAGAATTTAATATCTTTGCTCCAAACCTTACTACATATCTATTCCTTTATTCATCATCTTGTCCAACTATCCAACCTATTCTAATTGGACTTGCATCAACTGTTAATACCATTGGCCTTCCACCTTCATAATTTACTTTCTTCAAAGTTGGAGATGAAGAAAGAAGTTCTTTCAATTTTTCCATAGCTTTCCATTGTTCTTCTTTCTATTGAATTTTTTTATTCTTTCTTAACAACTCATATAATGGATCTGCTATATATGCAAAGTGAGGTATCCATAAATGATAGAAAATACATGCTCCTAAAAATCTTTTTACTTTCATTATATTTGTACATTTTTTCATCTTTTTAATAATATAAATCTTTTATATACTTGACTTGCATCTATATGAACCACACATATGTCCTACCACCAAAACTTCTTTTATTCCAAACATTGATTATGCTCTCGATAAGATTAAATGAACTTCTTCTAACCTTTTTAAAATCTTTTCTCTAATCTTCAATATGATCTGCTATAAACTTCCTATATTCCTTTCAATCCAAAGTCTCATCTTTTCTTTCTTTTTCACATCCCTTAATTGGTACATCATCTAAGAAAAATATTGTTATTCTTGAAATAAAATCTCTTAATACCTTATGCATTCTATTCATCATATGTGCTATAGAATTTGTAGTCCCTTGTGATAATGTGCATATTCTAACCAATCCTAACGATGTCTTCATAGTTATCAAATCCCTACTTTGTATTGCTAATTGAAATTAATCATAACCTAAATAAAGATTATTCATTGAGTAGATAGCTC